GCATTTTGTGTCCCAACACTGGAGGAATTGAAGAAATATCGGATAGTGGTGGTGACTTTGTCCACATCGGTCTACCTTTCGGCTATGGGCCTGCCGCAAGGTTTTTTCACTCATATTCTTCTCGATGAAGCGGCACAGGCCATTGAATGTGAAACGGTTACACCTTTGGCCATAGCGAATGAAAATACCCGGCTTGTTCTGGCGGGTGACCACATGCAAATAGGCCCCGATATATTTTCGCCTTTTGCTAAAGAACGAAACTTGCACATATCGCTTTTGGAAAGATTATACGACCATTACCCCAAACAATTCTCATGCAAAATCCTTCTGTGTGAAAACTACCGAGCTCATGAAAGTATCATACAGTTCACATCAGAATCGTTCTACGATCAGAAGCTGATATCCAGCAGCAAGCAACCACGTCATTTTAAATATTTTCCTTTGAGCTTTTTTACGACTCGAGGCGAAGATGTGCAAGACAAAAATTCGACCGCTTTTTATAACAATTCGGAGGTGTATGAGGTGGTCGAAAGAGTCGGCGAGCTGAAGCGAACATGGCCGGACGAATGGGGCAAATACAATGATCAATCTATTGGAGTGGTAACTCCATATGCGGACCAAGTGTTTAGAATAAGAGCGGAACTCAGAAAAAGGCGCATTGACAACGTTTGCGTGGAGCGGGTTTTAAATGTGCAAGGTAAACAGTTTAGGGCAATTATCTTATCGACTGTGCGCACGAGAAAAACCTGTACAAACGCAGCGTCGGATCTAATGGATTACGGATTCATGTCCAATTCTAAGCTTCTTAACACCGCAATAACAAGAGCGCAAAGTTTAGTGGCCGTGGTGGGAGATCCAGTTGCGCTTTGCTCGCTAGGTCGATGCAGCAAAGTGTGGGAACGATTTATTCAAATATGTAATGAAAACGAGAGCCTGTTCGGCATTACTTGGACCCAGTTGAAACTACAACTCGATTCCATAGAACTGAAAAAGATTTACACGCTCAATCCCCTGGCGCCTGAGTTTATTCCGAGGAACTACAATAAGGATTTGCAGTTCCATCAACCCGCAGCGGAGATGCTGCCTCCAAGCAGTATCATAACACATGTTGTTCCACCTCCTGGTGTGTCTCCATTTGGACTTCCGTTTGCGCCTCTACTATATCAAGCTCAGAACAGGCCGTTTATTTTTAACCCGCTCTCTGCCATGGGCCCGAATATCGTTCCTCACTCGTTTTCGCAGCCTCTTCGGGTTGTTAACCCAACAGCTCCATTGGTGCTGCAATCTCACAGACCCATGGGGAATTTGCGGCCTTTAATGTCCCTGCCGAAGACGTCGGTGCCAAGTGGAGAAGCATTACCGAAGATATCGACGCCACCAGTCCTCAAACCCGCAAACCCAGTTTCAAGTAATAAATTGATTCAGTTCATGAATAACGTCCATTTTCCGGAGGCCTCAGTTCTGAGTGATTGCATCAATTTACTTCCTCAAAATATGTCGTTAGCGGATATGCTCCTGCAGCCGCATAGCATGCAGGAACGGTGGTACAACTATCTGAAGGAGAGTAGCGGCGAAGAGGCAGCGGAAAAATTTAAATATCTTCTCCATACAACAAACCAAAAAGGTTCCAAAATTCAGGAACGGTTAATATTTGATTGCGCTACACCGCAGTCCTGCGACTCGCCCACTTTCAACTGGTACGATAGTCCTACCAATCAACTGAACTTAAATAAGCCAGTTTATATTCAAAGCGACCATATAAATCTCAACGACCTGCAGAAAATTGAAAAACCAGTTTTTATCAATAAAATTGAGGATGATGCCACTAGCAGCATAGTGAATTCAATGTTGGAAGTAGACGAAACGGATTTGCAACGGCATATAAATGAGGAATTTGCCAATCTGAGTCTTAGCAATTGCAACGATGAAAGAAATGTATGCGCAGCCTTTAGCAAAGATAGCTTTATAGGAGAATTCGGTATCAATGGAACTGCTGGGGTTGGAGTTCCTCGATTTTATAAATATTTTCAGTAGTTTTCACACTGTTACCGGGCGAATCACTTGATTGCTGAAGATTTTGTTCATTTAAAACTACTACTACAAATTTTAAAAAGCAAATAAGGCACAAATCCTTTATTGCTGTTTACAATTCGCTTGAACGCCTTAGATTTCTTTAACATACGATTAGCACTTTCCACATAATTACATTTATTCGACGAACTTTCACGCAAGCAAACTAATATGTTTGGCATTTTTTTAAAGACGGCGAAGCAGCGATTTTTATGATTGATGTTTGATATCACTAAAATTTCCCTACTTAACTAGTTGCATTAAAATGTCACACATACACATTAAAAGAAATGTCGTTGCATTTTCAATTTATTTAAGCAACTTTTTTTCGGTATTTCGGTGATAATTAGGGTCCGAAGACTGAACTTTCTGTCTGTTATCTCGAATCGATTTATTCGTTGTTCAGAAATGAACTAATAAATCCCTTCTTGAGGGAGCCGGTAAGTTGACATTTTTTGGACCTTAGTATAGATGAGATTTTCGTAATGCTTTTGGCTCTAGAATATGCCCTTAAAGTGTCGCAGATTAAAGCTGATATTGTATATGCATCAATATTCAGTTGATATTATTTCACTCAGTAAAATGTAGTAGGCTACATTTATTTAAAGTTTTACGATTATTTTTTAGTTTTATTCTCAAGCAAACTGTAACTCAATTGTTATGGAATCCAGTTTTGAGTTGCATATTTGCAATTTGTTCAACTTTTTGCACTATAAACCACCCATTTCTAGTGCTGTCACTGTTTTCTATGATATATTTTCTTTGTTTTTTCTATTGCAATACCATTTGTTTTCCTAGTTTTGTTATGGCTTTGTATGATAGTTTTATTATACAATTTGAATCAATATGTGTGGATCTGATTGTACAGTATTACACAACATATTTTATTTTGCTAAGAGTACTATTCATGTGAAAAATTGCTTCGATTTCTTTTGCGTATGTATTTATTTCCTTTACATTRAGAATGATGTAAAATTCACGGATAAAGTATAAAAGGGTTATTTATTAGTGTTTATGTCTAATATATCCTCTTTGCGGACTTTTACGTCACACATTKAACTTCTACAATTGATTATAAAAATATCTTAATGTGAATTTAGTCTTATGTAAATRCAAAGTTGATGTTTGCGTCTTTGATTATTTCACGGGACCGTTTGACTTGATTCATATGAGGTATAAGTCTCAATGTATCGAAAAAGATCTGTGCAGTTACTAGCRSATTTAGATCTACGCAGAGACGAAGTWGTAKGTAGTATACAACAATAAGTACCTGTATTGATTAAATAGCGTACTGTTTTTATCTCATAAATATGTAGGCGTTTAGCTTAGATTAAATATTTTTGTAAATATTCATGTAAATTCTTATTTAAAATAAATGTTTGTCTAGTACTCAAATTCCATTATAGATTTTTTACGTTTGTTCACATTTAAAAATATATGTATACCTAATATATATGTGTACGAATAAAAAACGTTTCCATGTGCATTTAAGTATTTTCATTTGTCTGTAATTGGAACTAATAATCGCGAAAAATTGTTATATTTGGAACTGCGTGTATAGTGCATACTAGAATCGCTTTCCGGTAACTACATGTTCAGGTTTATGTTGCTCGTATTAGTTTATATAAATATATTTCATTTAGAATACAGACTTAAACGGTTAAAGTTACTTACCAAATAATTCATTATAGTGTACGCCATCACTTTAACCACCATTCGTTTTAAGGTAAATAGCACATTTTTTTAATTCTCAGGTATAATTTCTTTCTGAGATAGAATCTAGGACATCCGATGTATCATTGTGAAGATTAATCAGAAAAAYTGATAAAAATTTACTTCGATCTGAGTATTTTGCAATCTGAAACAATCTAGGCATTTTGACATAGTGACMCGTGAAATGAATTGAAACTCGATGCAGTTTTAATATAATCTATGAAACAAAAATTAATTAACAGCAAATATTGATATAACATATRTAATACATATTAAAATGTGYATTTAAATAATTAATTAATGATAATGCGAGATTCTGATCAATCAATGTTGAGATTTGTTCWCACAGTATTCGAAACATTAAAAAATGTACAAAGTGGGGCAAAATAACTTAATGTTTTTAGGATCATGTGAAATAGAAATGTTGACAAAACTTGATAAAAGTACCTTCGCACATTTTCCTAATACTGATTCTCCTGTTCTATAAGTAACAGCATTATTTACTACAATATATCTTTAAAATAGTCTTTATAACAATAAAAAGATTCAATTCAAATCTGATTGAATCCTTAGCAAATTTAAAAATGCGGCAAACAAACTTTGCCAGCAAACAGTTCACTTATGACTGTGATCCACAAAGCACCAACAAACAAGATATAAGAAATACCTACTTGGTGGCTATTTGGCAGCTGATAGGGTTGACCTCCAATTTCATCCACGTGAAATCCCATTGGGAATATTACAGCGGCAAGGCAAAAGAGAACCACTGTAAACAAAACAATTTTTTTTACCCATTCGCACTCATTTAGCCTTCTTAAACAATTTGTTAATCTACTCTTTTTAAGGTATCTTTTCAGGACGATAGCAGATTTGCTTGGAGAAAAGTACTTTTTTATTACAAGCAAATTTAAAGTGGTCACAACTGAACAATTGATTAATTAATGAAGGCTGGCTATAGTTAAAGGCGTTTTAAGTTGCAATGTACATACTTGCAGTAAATCCAACCCATCTGGCATATGGCACAACATTTCGGTCCCATCTTGAAGTGGCTAATAGAATTATAGTGGTGGTGATGCAAATACATCCAACAAAAATGCAAACTAGTGCAAGCAACCATTCTGGCTGCAGGTCGGGCGTGTAGCAAACTTGATCGCGCTTATAAAGAGTCATGCAAGACCACATTAATCCCATTCGAGTTTCCCCTAAAACAGCAACAACGTGTAACATTGGGGTTGATCAATGTTTGAGTAATTTGAGGATTTAAACAGGAAAAGCAATTGTTGCAACGTGACTTACCTCCAACTTCAGTCACGATCCAGTCAGGTCTTGCTAAGCTCACTATCGCAAAAATATCTGCAGTCAAAAACAACGATCCAGATATCATAGTTAATTTATCCATTTTGGAGGATGTATATTTACTTATTTAGAAAACACATATAAACACAACAAATTTTTTCAGCTGTTTTTTGTCAGTTCTTATCGGGCTGTCAGTGTTGTCAAATATCAAAATCCGCCTTTTAAAAATGGACAACAAAAAAAAGATTTATAGACGTGAATACTGATCAAAAAATATACCAATTTCCTAAAATATATTTATTATCCTGAAGATATTTAGTTCAGATAGGTCAGATCTTTATATATTTTTTATTTTAATTTTTCAAAATCTGCTATTAATATGCTGATTAATTAATTCTTAATTAACTAATTCGAACGCTATCAAGCTTTCTGGGAAACTTAAAATTAAAAAAATATCATTTGACTCCAAATGTGCTTCTTCTGTTTAAATTTTAAACAGCATTTTTAACACATATGACTTGAGTTTGACTCTTCTAGAAAAACAGCAACGTAAATCATGAAAAAACTCATTCCGCGGACACTGTATAAGAAAATGCTCTTAAATGTGTGATCTCTCCCCGCAAAAACTTTCAGGCCGGCAATTTTTTTTATAAATTGAGAGCTACAAAAAATATTTACAGCAAACCCAATGAGCCTCGGATACAAACCCAGCAATGCTGGCATAAAGGGGTAAATCGAGATAGAAAAAGAAAACTAGATCGGCTCATTTTCATACAAAATAGATTTATTTATACAATTTACCTACAGAAAAAAATACAATCAAACCAACATATTGATTTATACAAGTCAATTTTTACACAAAAAGTTGATTTATACAAATAATTTTTTTACAAAAGAAAAAACATTGTACTAATCAAGTTTGAGAGTTGTGTTTTAAGCAAAATATTAATTTATACAAATAATTTCTTCACAGCAGACAAAAACCTTTTACAAATTAATTTTTATACAAAGCATTTGCCACATGGACCAAAACTACGCCTCTAACAATGCGAATTTATTTTGACAAATTGCCCCTAAATCCGCACTGTTTTCACTATCATCGTCCTCACTTCCACTATCGTCATTTTGACTGTGCTCATCACTGGATAGCTCAAAATCTGGAACGGGTGCTGCCTCATCAAGTTCCCTGGCTTGAATCCATTTGACGGTGCCAACATCTGGATGCGACTGCCAGAACTTTTGATTTTCTGTGTAGTTAGGGGGTCTCAAGCACAGGCAAATCTTGCCTGCCACTGCCATTTGCAGTAAATTGTTCACGGCTCGGAAACTGTCCAATCGAGCAGCTTTGGCGGTAATGAAGCCTTTCCTTTTGGCCCACGCATCGCAAATGTCCATCGCTGACCACGTTTCGTCGCCCTCCGGGTGCTGTAGCTTGAGCAGTTTGATCAAATCCAGTCTTTCGGCCAGAAACTGTATGGTTGTGAAGGGCTCCCTGAGCTGGGCGATGGGAAAACTGCCCATTAATACTTGCAAGGGTTTGGGCACCTTTGAGGGAAACACCAGCCCCGGACAGTCGCAAAGCCGGACTTCTTTAGTGATGTGGATGGTTTGAAAGTGTTTGGTGTGGCCGGGAGTTCTGGATACGCTCACTACTTTCTTGCCCATGATGGCGTTGATTAGTGAGGACTTGCCAACATTGGGCTGCCCTATGCAGCCTATCGTTAACATTTCCCCATTGAAGCGCTGATATTGGTAGAAGCCAGTCTCGTTCTTCACTTCCACTGTTCTGTCTACGTGCACTTTGCCTGGATGTCGTTGGTCGTCTTGCATTTCCTCCTGGATTTTCTGCTGCCACGAGCTAATGTCCAGCTCGTTCTTCACTAGGTCTTGGCATAAGTTAAAAAGCATTTGAGTGCCCTCAGCCGCCATATGGGCGGCGCCTCTTCTCCGCCTAACTTGCAGTCCTCCTTTGTTTTCAGTGTGACCCACCAGATTATATCCAGGCGCACTGGTAAACATACAGATCTTCAACAAGGGATATTTGGTTTCAAAGTAGTGCTTCCATGCCACCACTAAAGGGGCGGGTGCCAGATCGATCTTGTTTAGCACCAAAATGAAGTCTTTGCCTAGTTCTTCGGTCACGTGGTGGTAGAGTGAGGGCGGGAACATGGTGGCACTAAACCGGATATCCACAACGAACAAAATGATGTCGGACATCTCTAGAACTCGCCACAGCTGCCTCCAGGTCTCCAGGTTCAGTTCAAAGTAGCCCAATTCTCTTACATCATGCGAAGTTTCAATGCCTTTCAAATACTCCTGGAAATATCGGTTTTCCTGTTGTTCGAGCTTCTCCTTGGACCAGCTCTGCTCCCAATGGGGCCTTTTCGGGAACCCCAAATTGTCTGGGTAGAATTCCTCACCGGACACCTCAAGATCATCGTCTTCAACGGGCAACAACGTGTTTCTGGCTTGCTCTTTTTTCTGCCTAATTTCTTCCTTGGATTCAACGAAGAACTGGAGGGCATACCGATTGGGTCGCGAACCCCTTACCTTGGTTGGCTGATAGTTGATTTTCTGGATTGATGGGGCGGCGGCTTCATCTTCGGTAGCGCCGGCCGGTCTTTGCCCAACAAAGGGCTGATGCGATTTTCGTTCACGCTTGTTTTTCAGCTGCTCCTTCTTGGCTTTGCCACTGAATGGTGTTTTTCTTCTACCCTGAGGCATTGCGAACTAACACGTTTGTTTTTGATTTGCGAAATATGCTCCACGAATTGTGAAATTGTTTACGTTTTCCAACTAACTAGGAATATAAGTCAACTGCATTGTTTTATTGTTTGAATCTTGGCACTAACCTATCTTTGCATCATTGCACTGTTGCCAAGTGCTGTTGTTGATGGTAGGTGACTTTGGGATAAATACGATTCCAATGTTGCCCTCGTACAGAATTTTCGAGGATTTTCCCAGACGGGCAACTATTTTATAGTTACTCCTCACCGATTAAATCAAAATCCCTTTAAAGCGTTTGTATTTATTTTAGAATTACACAATTACAGATGTACTTGTTCCAAGAAATTTCCTCAAAGGCAAATCGGGCAACGGTGTATCTGGATGCATGACAGAGAGAGAAAGAGAAAGAGAAAAAGTCAACCGCGTTCAGAAATAGATTGGATGGATATTAAATTTCTTGTTTTGTTATTTAATAGCATTATTTTACTTTATTGATTCTCATTTTGCAAATGCAGGATTTTCGCATCAAAATCACTCATCCAGTAAAAACTTTGAAGAAAAGAGCAGTTTGATTTGTATTCAGAGTAAAAACGCTTCAGGCGTCATTTTGTTCGTCATTGGTTGGAAACAAAGCTCCATCAGGGTGCTTCAAAATTCCTCTGGGGTGTTTGAAAGTATAGGAAAAATAGTAAAAAATAAACATTCTTAGTATTTTATTAACTGCAAAAGTTTGCAATAAAGTAATCTGCATCATTAGTTATTACTATCGCGTAAGGCAAGATCAATAATTCTTATAAACTCGCAGTTCAACTTAGCCTGTATGTTTTTTCTATCTGTGATGGTCTGATTTTGTGAAGGCCGTCAAAATGTATATGTAAAAAAAGTGAGTGCTTAAGCAATTACATGCTGTATGCCATGTAATTAGGTATAAATAAAAAAATAACAGCTATTTACCTGTCGTGATGTTTCATTTTATTTTTCAAGCTGATTACCAATGTCAGGGTTCATACCATTTTGTGTTTTGTCCAAGGTTTCAGGCTTCATTAGATTTAGATCATTCGTTTGTACGTAAATATCGGCTCTTGTCTCACCACTGGCAATCTCGGCGTCAAGATCCTCATTATTTTCCACCTGGTTAACAATAGATTTGATAGAACTAAGCATGGAAAACTATTTAACCATTGTTTTAAGCACAGAATGCAAACACATTGATGCCATTTCCTACGAGTATGTTGTAATGTAATTTACACCAGTAGGGAAATGGCCATTCTGTGCGAATATATACGATACTTTATCTACGAGTCTACAGGGATTTTTTATCAAGAAAAAGAATAATCAACTACCTAAATTAATGTTGACAAATGCCAAACTTTTGCTTTGACAAGGTTTGCTGTCAGGATTTACCGTGAATGGTGAATGTTTGCATTCTAGTAATTATGTTGTTAGGTGACAACCACAAACATACCCCCTAGGGGGGATATTTTGTGGTGACAACCCCTGTAATGAAGGAGTGACAACCCCTGTTCTCCATGGCGATATTTGCTTTCTCAAGAAGCCGGAATATTTTAAAGTTCGAAATCGATCGGCAAAGATCTCGATCAGAAAGGCCTTAATTTTCTGCGAGATTCTGCTTCAAAAAACACCTTTTCAGCAGCATTATCCGTATTAATAAAATTTACATGCTTAACGTACAAGAGAGAAAAAAATGCTTATACTGACCAACTGTGTAAATAAATATAGTTTGAATTGATTACCAATAGTTTCGAATGGTGTAAATCCCTTCTTTGATCTGCTCTCTTCTTTCTTTCTGCGTTCTTGGAATGTTTGATCACATCTGCATAGTCCATATTTCCCATGTTTTGTGTCGGAACCCAGTCAGGATGATTTTCGTCTTCTAATGCAGCCGGCTTACCTACGCTCTTTCAGTGAGTATTTTTTGGTAAAGACGTGGTTTTCCGCGCGTACCTGTTACAAAATGTTTACTGCAAACCCTTTGATTTCTGATTATGGAATCAGTTAGTCCACCGCGATTTATAGCAGTCAGCCAACGATTTCTTCGCTTTGCAGACAGTTCGTTTTTGTGTGTTAGGAATTTGTTGTTTAAGGCGGCAGGTATTGAATAAAAGCGCACTTTATCCCTCTGATAACGGCTTGAACAGCCGATTACAATGCAGACAACAGGCATGTTTTTTTGCATACACAGCCTGAAAACGATTCGTGGATGCTTAGTTAAAATAATTCGAACTTTGGCATTAACATATTGAAACTACACAGATATTTAGGTGCTTAACTTGCCTGCAACATAAAATTGTTCCAAATAAAATACACCTTAACTTCGATTATGTTTTACACATTACTTCTGCGTATTATATAGTCTATTCTTTTAATCTGTTGATGGATATGAACGCCAAATTCCAATTTTCAAACTGGGAACGAAAACCAATGTTTTTGTTTACAACCACAAAATATCCCCCAACAACAAGGGGGTATGTTCTGTGTTTACAACATAGAGTTAAAATATTGTATGTACTCTGTGGTTCACATGCTACTTCCACTTCTTTTTTCTTCTTGTCCATCCACAACTACCAAGTTGGTTGGTTCCCATTAACACATTGTCGGATACAACAAAGCACACGTGTGACGTCACAAACGCGGGTAAGGTTTTCAAACATCAAAATGCATACGTTTTGTATGTTTTATATTAAATTATCTAACAGGTTCTTACTGAGTCTAAAAATTACGGACCGCAGCATTTTCGTGCATAAATAAGTGGTTTTGGAAACTCAAATCTCTGAGAGGAGGAAGGAATCTCAAATCAATTGTGATGTCACAACTCCTTATATTTGGCCCTACTTGCAGCGAATTATTCTGTATTCATCCATGGTACCATATAAGACAGATGGTTAAATGGATGACTTTTGGCATAATGAAATATATATTTTATGACGTAAAAATTGCTAAAAAAATAATAAATACTCTCGTTAGTCAAAGCTTGGATGGTTGGCTAGATTATTAATCGATGTGAAAATTGATCTTTATTCTGTCTCATCGCAGTACTGCCCAAAAACCGAAAATGTATTTATTTCTGCCAGGTATATTGGTTTTGGCCCTTTTCTCCACATCTTCTGCAAGGATTCATAAATTACCAATTAAGGTCAGTGTATAACACAAATTCGAAATTAACATTGATCAAGTTATTGGTGTTATCGTTTGCAGAACGATGTCAGAAGATACATCAGCCTTAGCACCTTTGGCTTCTGTAAAGGGGGCACACTTGCAGTAAATCTTACAAATTTTCATGCTAGTCCGGAAAATGAAAATGCGGTGGTAAGTACACGAGATGTAGCGGTATTTTTTGCACTAAGCGAACGCCGAGCCCCTGATAAGTGTAGAAGGCTGGGGTTTGGTTGAGTTATACAATTGCAAGAAAGTAGAAGCAGCGTAAACATTTTTTTGCAATTCGTTAAAACGTGGCTATTTTACGTAAGTTTTAAATACTTGTTTAGTTTGGTTTCAGCCTAGATAGGGCAGCTAATGATGCGAGGAATTATTACCTTGACACCCATCAGGATGTCTGTATCCTTGAGCAAGACGAGCGATCAAAAAATGATAGCAACAAAGACGAGTTCATTTATTTGACTCTAGATTTAAAAACGAACAAGTAAGATTTTACGGTACTAATAAAATCGTGGACTTTTGCTTTAAACAATTACTTGATTGTTTAAGGTTGCATGTAACATGTGCTCATTATCAGCCGACAACTTCTATACACATATACAAAAGTTCAGCTGAAAAAGATCAATCAACGACTGGGAGATCTTGTAAGGATTTAAATTTCGACATTACCCGTTTTGTCGTTGCAAATCGCACATTATATAATGCCTCGGTAAGTATCGCAACATAATGGTAAATATGATCACAGGGCGGAAGATTACGGCTAACACCCCATATATTGTTATACTATCTTGATGGTCTTCCGGAAAATGCAAAATTATCACACGTTTCTGAGTAAATCAGAAAATAATAAACTTCTATTATTTGTTGCAGTTCTTTATGTCCGTGGATAGTTTACGAGAGGAAGGATTGTACAACTTGTATTTCCACAACTGTCCGAACTACAATCTCAATACAGAAACCATTCTTGATTTCGACATCGAAATAACTGAACAGAATGTGAACGGTTATCTTTCAGCTGGGGAGATGCCATTACCCGCTCTCTTCTGTATGATGTCAATCCTGTTCTTCTTATCGGGGATGTTTTGGGTATTCCTGTTAAAGCAATCTAAACATCCAGTATTTAAGATACACTACATGATGGCAGTGCTGGTGTTTTTAAAAGCGATTTCATTGGCTTTCCACGGAGTCAACTACCACTATATCGAACAACTGGGCTTTCATCTTACCACCTGGGCCATACTGTTCTATGTGGCGCATCTGCTTAAAGGTGCTCTTCTGTTTGTGGTACTGGTGCTGGTGGGCACTGGATGGACTTTTATCAAATACGTGCTGACACCCAAAGATAAAAAGCTCTTCATGGTGGTCATTCCCCTGCAAGTACTGGCAAACCTTGCTCAAATCATACTAGAAGAAAGCGAAGAAGGCGATATAGAATATCTGGCTTGGAGGAATGTTGTCATTATGATCGATTTACTGTGCTGTGGTGGCATTTTGTTTCCTGTTGTATGGTCAATCAGGCATTTACAGGTGGGTCAAATCCTTACATGTTTGCGTCCAAATTTAGTTTTCAAATGCTTTACGAGTTTATATGCACAGGCAGGAATTAACACGCATTGTAGAACTAGCTACTATTATTTTAGAAGGTTCATATCAATTAGGACATTATATTTTATAATAATTAAAAACATAGTGACTAGATTGTGGTCCACCGGCTGCTGTTGAGCAAATTATTTGGGGACGAATGCGCCAGCCATCTCAAGACTTTGAAAAGATTCATGATTTTTTAATATCACTCGTACAGTTTGAATAATTTCCGTTTTCAGAGTCGTCCGAATTTGACAACTCAAAAGCCGCAAAACAATGACCACAATTATCGATTATTTTCTCTTGTTTTTCACTGAATTCCTCGCTTTAATTCAATAAAAATCGGACAAGATCTGATGCAATTGGACTGGTTTTAGCTTTTTCAAAAAATCGTAAACAGGATAAGAGCTGTTCGATTTTCAACGCTCAAAAACGTGACAATTTTCGTATATTTTACATCACGATTTTTTTACGAGCTCTTTGGCACATTTTATATTGAGTTGAAGATCATGTTCATTTTTATCGAGAAGCGCAGAGTCATACTTTTCGCCCTTAATATATAAATATAGCTTTGTTTGGCAATTTTTTATTTGCATGCTAAGTTGAAATTGTATTAAACCATGTTAATAACTTTAATTTATTTCAGGAAGCCTCTGAGACAGACGGAAAGGCCGCAATCAATCTAAGGAAATTGAAATTATTTAGACATTTCTATATAATGGTGGTGTGCTACATTTATTCTACACGTATTATCGTATATTTGCTCAAGATAACAGTGCCTTTCCAGTACGGTTGGTTACATGAAATGTTTAGAGAAATGGCGACGTATGTGTTTTTCGTATTGACAGCGTATAAGTTTAGACCAGCATCTCAAAATCCTTATTTTGCCTTGCATGTTGAAGAGGAAGACCTAGACGAAGTGTACGTAATCTTTAATAGCATTTGCTTGATTAGGAAGTAATAAGCATATCCTGTTCCAGATTGACTGAAACAGGAGCAACTGAGGGATTAAGAAAGGTAAATTCTCGTTTAACAAAAGTTCCGTTTCATGAAACTATAACAGAAGTAACCGAAGAAGAAAAGGATGCTCTATTGGGGCAAAGTGAAAGCAGCCACGACTACGATTGAATTTGAAGTAGTAGATGGGCTTTGCTGACAAAGTGCGATCCTATTTATTGTGATAGCACGTAAAAGTGGGTTGCAAATGAAGTTCAATACAAGTTATTTTTTCTTACATATTATCAGTAATTGTAAATAAAAGAGAATGCGTTCGAAGTTCATGTAATACATATTGCTACATACTCCTATCACGCCCTTTTGAGTTGACTCCTAGTTTGAATTATTATACTTTTTTAAGATTTATCACGTGTTAAATTTGCATGTTATTTTCAATTAAAACCAACACATTGAATAGAATTTAATATGTTTGCCTATTTCCGCCCTTAGTGATAAATCGAGAGCGACCACCATTGAATGAAAAATGAACTTGAGAACAAAATCGAAAACATGTACGGAACTCTATCTACTGTCCCCAGTTTGCCGTTTCATCTGTATCTTCGCCCGTTAAATATATGGGGTAATTGAACTGGACTAAATGAAAGCCTATTTCTGTCAGTATTATTGGCTCATAATTACTGTTGAGATTTAATATAAAAATACGTCAATATCTACACTAATAACCGTTCAATCTCCTGCTGAATGGTGATAATCTGAGGTTTCAGTTGAGAACCCTCATTTATGGTTACACTGCAAGCAATTACAGACCGTGAGACACCGCACGCTCGTCCTAAAGCCTGCTTGGACCTGATAAAAACATACGGCACGTTTTTGTCCTCACACAGCAACGGTAAATGCATCAGAATCTCAATGGGTTCTGCATCAGCGGCCATAACAATAAACTCAGAAATACCGCGGTTCAAAGTTTTGGTAACTTCGTTAGCTCCTTTCCGCAGTTGCTTGTAGTTCATCGCTTGCTGAACTAAATTCAGGATTTTCGTCGTCAGGACGGGATCGGCAAGGGGATATGCCTTGGGGTTAATTTCCTCAGCCTGCAAATAAAAGCATTATTTTTATCTGCTTAGTAAACAACTAATGTCTAAAAAAATTAATGCGAACATCTTATCTAAATGTTAGGAGACTGATTGGGTTGTGGTTAATTATGTCCAAAAAGCAAAACACAGTTTCTTTACATTTTAGTTTTTTAGAAAAGTAGTGAATTTCAATGAGTAAAAAGTGAAAAAAACTCCTCTCCGCAAAAAACAAAGTTGTTGGTAAAAAAAGGGGAATTGCATAAAGTTAAAAACTTACCTTTAACCATGCTAACCAAAACTAACCCAAGCTAATCCAAATTAAACAAATCTAACACCAATAGCTACAAAATGCTCCTAAGATCCGAAAGCAACATTTTCGCCAGAAGTTTTACTAAGAAAAGTGCTAGCACAGGGATAATCTACAATGCGAGTACTCTTTGATTATCGAAAGCCAAAAGGGGCCGATCTAGATTACTGGATTTTCTACAAAGTGAGATTATTTGCTAATCAGGAGGGCCTGATCATATAGAAAATTGCACTTCACTTTTAAAAATGATTGCAGCATGCAAGTTAAAAAGCATCCACTGGTATCAATATGAGAAACACGTGTTGCGAACTAAAACATTGAAAATTTGGTTGTACTTTCAAATATCATGTATCTCAACAACAGTAAGCTAAAAGCAAGGCATGAATTGTTAAAACATCAAATTAAAACAAGTAAAAGCAGGAATATCTACAAAAATCAAACAAAACGTTTATTTGCCGTTTGTATGTTGGAGGCGTAGGTTAACGCTATTATTTTATAAAATATTAAAACACAGACTTACCATTATGTTGAAAGTACGATCTAGATCCTTGTTTCTTTATGATGCAACCTCTCGGCGATTTCAGGCGCTTCACGGAGGAGCAAAGCAACTTCTATAACTGAAAAACTGAGAAATGCTCTCGAAACTCACGCGTTTATAGTTAGGTTATGGTTAGGAACCACGCCGCGTCCAAAATCTTCTTCTATTTACCCTATCCTATGCATAGCTGAGCGACTGTGACGTCACAGACTCGTTGCAGTTTTCGAACATTATATTTTATGGCGAATCATCGCATTGCATCTGTAAACGCCTCGCCCTGTATATAGGATATTTGCGTAATTTTTACTTATTAAAAATTGGTGGATAAAACTATTCAATTTTAGAGTGTGCGCAAGTGACTTACGGGGTAAACATCAGCGTAATAAATCCAAATCTAATTCAAGTTTTATTTTATTTTTAAATTGTTTTTTTTCAACTCCCAATTGTTGATAAAACTATTCATGACATTGTTCTTAATTATTCTTATAATACAGTTTTATTATTCGGGATATCGCGTTTATGGCAACAATAATAAAATTTTATGTGCTATTATGTTTTCTTTTTTGTGTTATTGTCATTTGAAAAGACGATATAATTGTTGCTGCTTGGGAGTTTGGAAAATATTTTCAGATAATTTCTAAGTCTACAAATTATTTACAAAATAAAGCAACATCTTATCCAATTGGTATATACAGGGTGATTCAAAATTGGTGTCATTCCTTTTTAAGGGGTAATAGGGGCTCACAAAGAGAGCACGACAAGAATTTAGAAATTTTTTTTTCGAAGATTTCTAGAAGATATCAATATGTAGTTGAAAATTGAATGCCAATTTTGTTATTAAGCATTATTTTTAAATGGTTCCATCTTTCATTGGTAGAGTATTGGAATACTTAACCGCTCGTAAAAAAATTACGGTCTTTATTTGAAACTGCGAAAATTCTTGATATCAAAAAGTTCTCTTCTAAAATTTTTTGACAAAAAGTCAAAGCGGCAATGATGTTTTTAAGAGAAAAGTTGCAGGTAGATTAGCTTTTTTTCACAAAATTTACACCAATATCGAATATGCGATTAGTTATGGGGAAATGCCGCATTAACATAGCAGAAACTTTAAGAACTTACTCCAAAAAAAGTTCAGAGGTTCTAATAGATTGCCAACAGAGCAATTTCTAGTTGACAATTTGACATTTCAAAAAAAGTAGATCCCTACATTTAACGAATCCTGTTGACCTTACCGTTTTTCTTTATCTATTTTATTGCCACTTTCTCTATTTTTCCAGGGTTACCGGAGTTTTTAACAATAACGAAGCAACAGGTGTTTACATAATGGTAAATAGTCAGATTGTCTTGAAAAACATTGTTGCCATCCTTACAGTTTTTGGCGGCAAATATCTCAGTTTTTAATAACAATTAATTTTATTAAAAGTTTTTCTGTATTTCTAAAAAACCCCCAGACACCAGCTCGAGAGGAATGACGCTAATTTTGAATCACCCTGTATATTTTTGCAATCAACATGATTTATGTAATTTTTTTGCGTTGTACTTTAAGTATTTAATCGATCTACATTCTACCAAATAAAATAAAATCTAATTCTTCTAGTAAAATAGCAGCAGAATTTAAAAAACTAGCTACCCCTACTTACGGTAAATGGTAAACAATTTACATCCTTTGTTTTGCAAAATCGAGCGCTTCTTGCTGCTCGAATATCCATTCAATCTCTTGTTGAAATTCCACAAAACCGACATTTAATCCAAATTCCGAAATGGACAAGGTAACAAAAACTCATTTAACATTTATTTCAAACGCTTCTTTGCGTAACGGTTGTTGTTGTTGCTGGTGTTGTTTTCATTCCTTTGAGGGGCGTCGCACTGTTGCAGTTGAGCGTTCTCAAGAAGGTGCTTCGAAAATCTTCCGAAAAGGAGATGTAGATATAAAATGTGATAGAGTAGTTCGTTACCTCGAGAAGATTGGCAATTGCTCGAAATACCTGCAAAATATCTAAAAAGTTAAAAATTTGCTAAACAGATATAAACCGCCAACACTTGCCTGATAAGGATATTTCATTAAATTCACTTCCGACAATGTGACATTGAGAATTACCATTGGAGTTACACAAATCAGGAATAAAATACTGGTTGATCCTAGGAGGAGGACTAAGCGCCTTTCTTCGGCGAACTTGCGCGGATCTTCTTCACCGGATGCTGTTCGACTGATAGTCATTTTTCGACGTTTTTCACACGATCTCCTAAAAAATGTGACTCAAATAAGTAACACTTAAAACTTAAAAAATACATGTTTACAGCCTAAAAGCAAGTCCCTGAGAAACTTTTTGTTATTAATTTTACGCAAAAACGTCCTAAAATCACAAATCCAAGTTTTAAAGTTTTTTAAAATGAAAGTTTCTTCGCAGAAACTTTCATTTTCCTCGCATTTTGCCAAACACCATCGACAAAAAATCTCCCTTCTCTCGTAGTTTCCAGGACGTAAGAATTGATTTATAAAAATCCGGTAAGAACAATACTTAATTTTCTAAAAATGGCAAATACCGTTTTTAAACACGTTTGGTTTCTTCATTTTTTTTTTGAAAAAAGTGGATGCCTATGCGTTTACAAATCCAACAAAATTGCTGTTGGGTTTGTTTTGCGTATTTTTTGCATCTGGGTTCTTCAAGTTTATCTTGAACCTTTTGTTGATACCCAGTAGATTTTTCTGCTTGTGTGATTTATAGATACTCTAAAAATGAGTATCTATTGAAAATGCGTCCGTATTTTTTTTAAATTTCAGCAATGGAGGAGCCAAACATAAACTTGAAATCAGACTGATCTCATAAACAGATGATCAAAGGAAAAATTCGTTTGTTAAAAATCAGACTTATAAAACCCACTAGAGTTTCTTAATAGCGCATAAAAAAGAACCAATTTTCCCCTCAACCTTGTCGTTTTTTTGAAATAAAACATTTTCGACACAGTTCACAAAACAGTTCGACAGAATACACATTTCCCCAAAGCATTAATCCTAATGAAACCACGTTGTGAACAACAAATAATTAATTTTGATGCAAGCCTTAGCTCGAACAATACATTGGCTGTACACTTCTCGAAGATATATTCGCTTTTAATATGATTGATAGTGATGATTATACGCGTATCTTGCCGGGACAGGAAAGAGATTAATGTGTCACATAACAATATTGATGAATTTTTGGAAAGTCTTTGCATCATTTGCATTTTCGTATTGATCCTTCACTAGCTTACGCTTTATTATTAAACTATCGTTGGCGGAAAGTTTGACTGGTTCAATCGAACAACCGCGGACAACATTTATTTGAATTTTATAACAAGTCATTGATTAATACAGAAATTCGAGTTTTAGATGGTGCATAAGTTTGCTATGTTCTTAGGAAAAAAAAATTGAAACGGTTTCGTGGAATATTTCGGTCTTTAACTGTTCTTCAGAGAGTCAATGTAAGTTTGAAAATTATCCGGTTTTAATCATAATTCTGCATCGGACACAAATAATGATCTTCCGCTTTGCGTTGATAAACATTAGCAAATTGGTCCAGTCCAGTAAATGTACGTCGGGTCGATTTGCTTTTCTCTTTCTGCATACACAGCGCTTTCGGAAATAATAATACTGAAGGAAATACCATAATAATGTGGAAGCCAAATTGTACTTTCCTTGATTAATTTTTTGTTATCGCAAAGTGTACACTATAATGTAGGTGCCAGTGTTGTTTTTATATTAATAAATGCATTTTTATATTAATATATTATTATAACATAGGTAAATTCTCGAG